GGTTTGTTAAATAAATATCAAACTGCTCCGCTTTTTCCAATTGAACTTCTTGCTTGTATTCATTAGTAAAGAGAAAACCTGGATTTTTTTATATATATTGAACTTCTCAGTTTTTCAAAATTGAACTTCTTGGTTTTTATCTTTTAGTATTGGGGAAATCTTAGTTTTATTATAAATATCAAATAGCATCATATTTTTAATTAGGACTTCCTGGTGTTATTCATTAGTAACAAGAAAAGTCCTACTTATGTAATAAATATCGAACCGCTCAATTATTTCAATTTCAACCTATAGGTCTTTTTGAAAAGAGGCAAAATCAGATTTTATAAACTTTTTGAATGGCTCATTTTTTTTAATTTGACCCTCTTGGTATTGTAAATATTTGTAATTCTCCGTTATTTAAATTTGAACATCTAGGTTTTTATGTAGAAACAGGGAAAATCTTTTTTCTCTACAAATCTTGAGATGCTCTATTTCTCTAAATTGAACTAGTTCGTCTCGTCTTTAGTAATGAGGAAAATCCTAAATTTGGAATAAACGTCGAACCTCTTCATTATTTAAATTTGAAGTTCTTTTTTTTCAAATGAGAAATCTATTTGAACTTCATTATTTATTATTCTGTAGTAGCGGTTAAAAATCTAAGTTTTTAGTAAACATTGAACCGCTCCGTTATATTAATTTGAACTTCTAGATTTTTTGGAAATGCGAAAAATTCATTATTTTTATTGACTTTTTGAATTCGTATGTTAATTTAATTCAAACTTGTTGGTTTTTATCGGTTTATAAAAATCTGAGTTTTTTATAAATGTCGAACTTCTCCAATATTTTAATTTGAACTTCTTAGTTTTATTCTTAGAGAAAAATATGGTTTATAAGCCGATTGTGATACTGGAACATTTTATCGTTCATGGAAGGAATGATTTTGTCATGGCATTTTATTAGGAAACCCACATGGAAGGAATTATTTTGTCATGGCATTTTATTGGTTTAAGGTCCTGACTTCTTTTGGTTTTATCATGTTAACTTTTTCAATTAGTTTCCTTTCAACTTCCAGAACACAAACAATTTGTTAATTGAAATTTCATATTTTTTTCATGAAGTTTGGTAATTGAACTTCCGTATTTTTTACCTTTCCTTTTTTCATATTGTATAATTATATATTGAATGAAGTTTGGTAATTGAACTTCTTCTATTTTTTATGTGAATTCCAGAGATTTAACATTTCTTTTTCAAGAGAGAATCCGTGAACATTTTCTAATGGATGATTTAACATTTCCCACTCCACACCTTTTTGCCATAGAATGTGTAATTTTTTCAAGATTGAACTATTGTACAGATCAAACAAGGGGCAAAGGATTTTGTTTGGTACATACCACATGATAAACAACACAACTGTTTTTAATACAAAGAAGATGCATTCACATATACACAAAACAAAGTATCGATCGATAGACACATGATCCATCCACAATTAACCCGTGCAAAATTTCATCAGTACAAGCAGTGGCAGGTGACGAAAACAAATTAAGGTAGGGAGCACTTTGATGAAAAACCACAGTCCATCCACATTAACATGAAAATGCCACCAAAATCACTGTATTTTCCACACACCGTCGGCTGGACCTGTGGCTCACTAGCCTGCAACATCGGCCACATCGACTAGCTGCTGCTCTGGCCTGCCTGCGCTCATCTCACTCCATATGTGCGGGGTCGAGCAGTCGGTGGACGCGCCGCTGGTTTGACCTGTGGCTGTGGGCATTGACCACTGATGTCCGTGACCCCGCGCCCCGCTCCTGCTGGGTGCTAGCCGCCGCTAGCGGCAATCATGAGTCGTGACTTGGTGTTGTCTGTGTGGACGAATGAACAAAGCTATTGACTCGACCGTGCCCGAGATCCTCCGCTGGCTGGCTTTGTGTGTTGGATCGATCTTCTTGTGATGCTCACGAGTCACGACCCAACAATACAGCACTCCTCGCCCCAAAAACAAAAAGTAGTGATCAATTTGTACATAACTACGATGCATATACGTGTACCTAAGAAGTTTTAACAGAAAATCAAGGTAGGGCGGGCGCCCACCCTCGCCCTACCGGGAGCTCCGCCTATGAGTACAAGAGCAGCATGGGCAGTGTCCGACAATGTGAGGATTCGCCAATCTGAATAGGAATAATAAGCAGTGTTGAAAATCTCTCACATTGTCCTTCACCTAAATCTTTTTCCTGAACTCAAATACCTGTTGAAACTCAAATACCTGCAGAAGTATGAGCACGGAAGATGGACCTGGGCCTCGTCCAGGCACTGCAGCAGTGGGAACCAGGTGGCTGAGCCGAACTTCTTGGGGTTGCAAAGTTGAATGGCAGGAGTTGGCAGCGGCGAAACGCGCTGAGTGCTGCGGAGATGCGGCGCAACTAGGAGGAGGCGACGTGGTGGAAGGGGACTCTGGTGGCTGGAGGCAGGGCAGGGGCGCAGGGCACGGCGGGGTCGAACTGACGCGGCTGGCCAGGCCGAACTTCACAAACGCCTACCTCCATGGAGGAGGGAGGAGGCCACCATAGATGCGCCATGCTCAGTGGACGGGGATGAAGGAGGAACAAGAGGGAGTAGGTTGTTGTTTGCGTCGCGCTTGGGGACGGAGGCTCGCCGGAGCAACACCGTCATGAGAAATCGCCAAATCCAGCGGCTAGCGCTCAGATCCATGGCCGTCGACGATTAATTAGTAGGTGGCCGAGGGCGACGGCGTGGGTCTGGCAGCGACATGTAGACGTCGGTGTTGGGAGCATCCTAGGGCAAAGAAGATCAGGTTCGCTGTGGGCAGGTGGCCTCGCGGCGGAGGAGATGGGGGCGACACCGCGATGGTGGAGGAGGGGTGGCCTTGCACCGGGGGAGGCGGGGGGAGCGGCGCGCCAGAGGAGGAGGGATTGGCCTCGCGCCAGAGAAGGTGGGAGCGAGGGCGCGCCGGAGGTGGAGGGGGTGGCCTCGCGCAAGAGGAGGCGGCGGCGGCGGCGCGCCAGAGGTGGAGGGGGTGGCGGCGCGCGGGGTGGGGCGTCGGCGGCAACTGGTGGAAAGGTGCGGGTCGAGGCAGGTGGGACGTGAGGTGCTGAGGTGCGTGGGTTTCTTTTTTCTTTTTTTTTCAATGGTTCGACGCTTGTTTTTAGTTCGGGGACATCTTCGGACCCTATATAGGGCGCGCCGTGATCCAAATAACTATTCTGATCCTGGGATCAGAATAGTGTTACTATATATATTCCTATATATATATATATATATACAACCGGTCTATTCTGCTAATATTAGCAGAATAGTTATTTTGACAACACTTCCGCACTGCACGCTCAACGCGAGAGCACTGCATTTTCTATAGCAAGAGCATCGCAATACAGACTAGTGAACTTCGTGTCGGAAAAAACTGCACGCGGTGTTTTTTTGGTACTGTTTTCGCTTTAATTTTTTAACTGTTTATCGGAACGTGGCATATAATATACCGTTGGAAAGCTATGGATTATGCGCAATTTCTCCATGTTGAACACTTTTCAAAATTCCTTGCGGTTTAAGAGCAGTTTTAAAAAGGGTGCGGCGGATGACGAGTGGCAGCGAGCGTATTTTCTTGATTTTTTCTAAACCGCTCATCGAAATAAAGCAAATGATACGTCGTTGGAAAGATATTGTTGAGGCGTCTTTCTCATATCTATTATTTGCTCTAATTCATTACAGTTTAAGAGCAGTTTCAAATTTACTAAATCACGAAATTATGTTTTTTGAAATTTTTGCAATTTTCGATACTGTTTTCGCTCTAGTTTTTGAACCGTTTGTTGAAACGAGGTGTGTAATACGTCTTTGGAAAGTTGTGGACAAGGCGCATCTTTCATATGTAGGAATGGTTTTGAGATTCCTTACAGTTTTAAGTTAATTTTAAAAATGGTGCGGCAGACGACGAGTGGCAGCATTCGTTTTTCGCGAAATTTTTACAAACCGCTGGTTGGAATGATTCAAATTATACGCCGTTGGAAAGATATCGACGAGGCGCAACTTTTTCATGTAGAACACTCTCTCTAATTCTTTACGATTTAAGAGGAATTTCGAATTTACTGAAATGCGGACACTCTGTTTTTCGCGACACCCTAATCGATGTGGGTACTTCATCCGACTGAAAACCGCACTGCATCAGACGAAAAACCGCACTACATCAAACGGGTAAGAGAACTGCATGGTTTCTTATATTCAAACGTAATTTTTTCAAGGACGAGAAAGTAGAGTGCACTTCACATCGGGTGTAAATGAACCACAACACTATCAAGAAGTGAACCGCATTACTTTTTTCGCTTCCGTAACAATTTTTTTTGCACTTACGGGATGAACAATGTCATACGGCTGACCGCACTGCTTCAGAATGAAAAACCACACTGCATCAGAAAGTCAAGCGAACTTCATGATTTCTTTTTAAGTTGCTATTTTGTGTATTTTTATTTTCACTTCGGACATCAAATGGTCACTTATAAGATGAACAACATCAGACACCCGACCGCACTGCTTCAGTTAGAAAACCGCACTGCATCAAATGGTCAAGTGAACATCATTAATTTTTTTGTCGTTTCTCTACCATTTTTCATTTAACACATCTTTGCACTTCATTTCCTTCTTTCTTTTTTCTGTTTGGAGTTTTGGGTTTCCACATTGGCGAGGCGAACCGCATGGTAAGGGAAATGAGCCGCAACACAGTTCAAAATGAACTTCCTTTGTAAACAATTTTCAAATGAGTCCATATAACTTTTATACATAAATAAAATCATCAAACACGGAAAAACACCATTCTGCACTGCATGTCCACATGGCCCAAACTGCATGCTGAACTCTAAACATCACCATGTTTCATCGCATACTGCAATCAAACGAGTTCCTGTAATTTTTATACATAAAATCCTCAAACACAAAAAGCACGGTCTGCACTGCATGTGCAGATACTCCAAACTGCATTTGCTGAACACATGTCTAGGCGTGAATTGCATTCAAATGAGTTCGTATTTTTTATACACAAAACGCAACATTTTTGCATTGCATGTTCCCATGCTCCAAACTGCATGCGCGATATGAACCACACCATGTATCGCCCCGAACAACATGGCATCGGTGCCGCACCGCAACCTGGCGTCCTGGCCGATGCCAGAACAACCCCATGGATGAACCTGAAAGTGAAGATGCATTTTGTCGAATGTGGCCATCCCATGCGTGAGAACGGATCCAGCAAAATATAAGAAAGCAAGCAGCTGTCTCACCATGGATCTTGACCAGGGGAGGAAGGAGGAGAGGCTGGCCCAGCCACTGCCGCTAGCCATGTATCTAGGCCGAAAGGGGTCACCGTTGATGGCCGGGCTCGATCTGGCCCATCCCCACCAGGAGCCGCACCACCTGAATGGGCGAGGTCTCACCGGATCTGGGGGATACATCGAGATGAACAGCATGGGGTTGGGAGGAGGCATGTGGAGGAGGAGCTCGGATCCATCACCGGTTGGGCGCGGGATGGCGGGGGCTGCTCGGATCCGTCGTGGTGGCCGGGGCGGGCAGCGCGAGGGAGGGAG